ATTTTCATCAGTTTTACGTTATGGACTTGAGTGGGAAAGGGAAGTTTGTGCCTTAAAAAAAAAAGTTGATAAATACACCAGCTAATCTCTCACTTCATTTTTAACTTTGGTTATTATATGTAGAATACAGCAGAAAATAAATGTTTAATAGGCCAGGTGCAATGGCTCTCGCCTGTAATCCTAACACTCTAGGAGGCTGAGGAGGAAGGATTGTTTGAGGCCAAGAGTTTGAGACCAGCCCGAGCAAGAGCGAGACCTCGTCTCTACTAAAAAGTAGAAAAATTAGCCGGGCATGGTGGCGCATGCCTGTAGTCCCAGCTACTCGAGAGGCTGAGGCAGGAGGATCGCTTGAGGCCAGGAGTTGGAGGTTGCTGTGAGCAAGGCCGACGCCAAGGCACTCTAGCCTGGGTGACAGAGTGAAATACTGTCTCAAAAAAAAAAAAAACAAAAACAAAGGTAAACAATAGAAAACTACAGAACACAAGCTTACCTCTGGCCTTCTTTCAAGTGCTTCTTTAATTATGGGATGTAATTCCTCTATTAGTTCCCTAGAAGAAAAATAATATATGTTCATATAACTAACAAGATATCATGTGACAATGCAAGTGTAAACATTAATATACTGTGCAACTGACAAGTGTTATCTAATCCTACTGTTTTAAACATCATTTTTATTGTTTAAGGTCATAAAACATATTATAGGACATTTGGACGCTAGAAAATGGATAGCCACTTATTAATTTGTAGAGGATAATTACTATCAATATTTTATTAATCAGTTTTGCCAACCAATACATTTTACATAGTTGAAACCTATTATATACTAATAGTATCCTTTTCTTAATAGTATCCAGCACCACTTGTACATGCATTCTTATCAATAGTCTATCATAGGGTATGCATGATAATTCAACCATTTTTACTGAATGTATACAATTTATCCAATTCTGTTACTATAATACTGCCTCAGTGAACCTCATACATTTATCACTGTCTTTATTTCTGATTATCTTTTTTTTTTAATTGCCAATTAATTTGTTTCTATTTTTAGTAGAGACGGGTCTGCTCTTGCTCAGGCTGTTGAACTTCTAGCTTGAGCGATCACACCGGCCTCCCAGAAGTGCTGGATTACATGCCTGAGCCACCGGGCCTGGCCTGATTATCTCTTTAGGATTAATTTTACAGATTAAATTAATGCGTCAAAGGGCAAAAGACTTTATGAAAATGATACATTTTTCTCTATTTATATTTTGATTTTAAATCACAAATGTACCCATTAGAAGATGGGGAAAATTCTTAAAAGCCTAAGAAGAAAATCAAATCCATCCACAATTTTGTCATTTATAGAAAAGCGCTGCTATTTCAAGTATTTGCCTCCATGATTATTTTTAAGTTGAGATCACTTTTATATCCCATTTTTTCAATTACCACAATAATATATTTATCTGTCATAAAACAGTCTTCCAAAACTTTATTTGTAATGATAAATAACCACGCCTACAGATACATCACAGTTTATTATCCTATTCTCTTGTTGCTCACATTGTCTCGGAGACAAAACACCAAATATCACCTCATATCAATTGAGAAAATTCTCAAAAGAGATCATTCAGGGCCCAGCAGGCAACAAAGCAAAACCTCAGGCAAAAATTAAGAATTTGCTTCATTAATATAAAAAAAAATCAAATATCAAAACATGACATAAAACGTGTCTATAAACACTTCTTTGAAGCACACTCTGATCCTCTTGCATAATAAGAAGGGGAGGAAAGTGGAGTTTTAAGCACAAGACCAATATTACACATTAACAGAATCACTGCGTAAATGAACCGAGTAGGAAAACAGTACAGATTTATATGACATTTTAACATTTTTATTATATATATATGTGTATATACATATATATTTGATTTGTCATAGTAATGCTGTGAGGAAAATAGGGTATATCTTAACCAAAATGAGGAAATACAGGCTCAAATAAAGTAAATGACTTGTTAAATGTTACAAGACTAGTTAACTGGTAAAAGTCAACACTAGTATGCAACTGGGCTGGGTGCGGTGGCTCACGCCTGTCATCCTAGCCCTCTGGCAGGCTGAGGCCCGGGGATCGCTCAAGGTCAGGAGTTCGAGACCAGCCTGAGCGAGACCCCGTCTCTACTAAAAAAAAAAAAAATTGAAAGAAACTAATTGACCAACTAAAAAAACACAACAACAACAACAACAAAAAGAGTAGCACGCAACTACCCTAGTAAGTACTCTGCCGGATCCTGCTACATTCTAAGTAGCACATGTATCATGTTAGCGCACAGAGGAAACATGAGAAAGTAATTACCTAAAAGCTCCTGGGTTGGTCCTGCCAAGTCCCAGAACGAGGGACTCCGTGATTTCCATGCTGTCGGAACGCATCATTGGAACGATGTGCTTAAACAAGGATGAAGGGGACGGGATTCCAATAATCTGGAAAGAAAATGTTGCATTTATAGCAGCCACTAAGGACACTGCCACGTCCAGTTAAACAGCTTCAGATTCCAACACTCTTTGGTCAGTGACAAATGGGACAGACGAAACTTTCAAATGAATGGGGCGTCAAAATTCACCCACGGTGTACACAACCTAAAAATATAGATCGTCCTCATGCTTAATGCAAGGCCATGAACAGAACTAAGGTCTCTCGATTGCTTACAAATACCGTGTTTCCCCCAAAATAAGACAGGGTCTTTTATTTAGTTTCCTCAAGAAGACACCCTAGCGGCTCATTTTCAGAAGGATGTGCTATTTTTGTTTAAGTACGGTACAACCATCTCCATTGATTCAAACAGAGTGAAGTCCTCTTCTGGAACAGCCATCCTCACTCCTCCAAACCCCGAATCCCATCCTGAATGTCTTGCGACTCGTTTCCTTTAGAACCACCGCCTGATCCTCCCTGTGGAGCACTAGAGTCTCACGGCAGATGAGAAGGGCTGCTCGTGTGCTGTCCCGCCCAGCCGACAACACGCATTGGGTTGTGGCAAAAATGCGCCGCGCCAGCCACGCCCCCTCAAGGCTTATTTTCCCATAGCCACGTCCCACCACTAGCGTGCGCGATTTCCCATTAGCCACGCGCCCCACGGACACTAGGCTGATTTTCAGAAGCCAACCCCACCCACCACTTACTCAGGGCTGCATTTCGTCATCACGCCACAGGCCCATACACTGAGGCTGATTCTCCCGCCACGCCCATCCCACGAGGCACTCGATTCTTCCATAGCCCAAACACCCACCCACTAGGGCTGATTTCTCACTAGCCACCGGCCATTCACTAGGCGCGATTTTCATGCCACAGGCCCATCACGAGGCGCATGATGTTCTGGGATAAGCTTCTATTGAGCAAATGCCTGTAAGAAATCCTCGTGCTCATTTTATGGGTAGGTCTTATTTTGGGGGAAATACGGTACCATCATATAATAGGCCCACTCCATCATATATTCTATATCTTTAGATCCATGCATATGAATAAAACAAAATTACTTCTAAAATTGTCCTCAGTGTTAAAGTCAGACCCCGGTCTTAAGTTTCCTAAGTTTCCTTGAACCACTGCATAATGTCTTGTGTCACATCATAAAGACTACACAACTGTTCTCATTAAACAGCCTTTGCATCGTTACATGATTTAGGAAAATTCTAGAGAGAGGCACTTAATTATTTAAACAATTCCTTTTGGGGTTTGAGAAGTGTGAGAACTATAGGAGCCAGAATAAGGGAAAACAGGCACGATGACTTCTTTAAAAACATTCATTACGATGAATTTAATGAGCCTTTATTTTCAATGAAAAACTATAGATGGATTATTGATTCCAAGTACGAATCCATAAAAATAGTGGGAATCTCTTTAAGTATTTTCACTTTTTTGGGGTTTTTTTTTTGAGACAGAGTGTCACTCTGTTGCCAGGACTAGAGTGCGTGGCGTCATTTGCCAGCTCACCAGCCAAGCCTCAATCTCCTGACCTCGAGCGATCCTCCAGCCTCAGCCTCCCGAGTAGCTGGGAGTCCAGGCATGCACCACCACGCCCGGCTCTTTTTTTCCTCTCTCTCTATTTTTAGCTGTCCAAGTAATTTCTTTCTATTTTTCAGTAGAGACGGCGGGGTCTCGCTCTTGCTCAGGCTGGCCTCGACCTCCTGCCCTTGAGCGATCCTCCTGCCTCGGCCTCCCAGAGCGCCAGGATGGCAGGCGCAAGCCTCTCACTGTCAGGGTCAGGGAGTCACACCCTTGTCAAGCAAGCTTTGGGGTTTGCTGCCCGTGAGAAGGCAACGGCGGCACAATGTCCCTTTTCGGGGGGCCCGGGGGAGCCCCAGTGCCCTCGCGGGGCGGCTTACCCTGGCGTCGAGGCCGTAGCCGCTGTCCGGGGTGGAGGCCAGCGTCTCGGGCGGCGAGCAGCGCGCGAGCCGGCGGGCGGGGCGCAGCCGGCGCTGCAGCACAGCAGCAGGTAGTTGCGCCACCACGCGGCCAGGTACGGCGCCGCCGGAGCTCGCCTTTTGCCGCAGCCGGGCTTGCGGGCCAAGGGGACAGACAGTGAAAGCGGCAGCGGCAGGTGTGACAAGGACAGTGAGCGGGCGCGGCAGGTGGGAGCAAGACAGGGTGAGCGGCGTGGCAAGTGTAGCAACGGGGACAGGTGACGGCGCGGGCAGGTGTGAGCAAGGGGACAGTGTGTCGGGCGCGGCAGGTGTGAGCAAGGGGACAGGGCGGCTCGGCAGGGTGAGCAAGGGGCGACAGGTGAGCGGGCGCGGCATGGGTTTGAGCAAGACTGAGCGGGCGCGGCAGGTGTGAGCAAGACAGGTGAGCGGGCGCGGCAGGTGTGAGCAAGGGGACAGGTGAGCGGGCGCGGCAGGTGTGAGCAAGGGGACAGGTGAGTGGGTGCGGCAGGTGTGAGCGAGGGGGACAGGTGAGTGGGCGCGGCAGGTGTGAGCGAGGGGGACAGGTGAGCGGGGACGCCTGTCACAGCTCCGTGTCACAGGCCGGAGCGCAGAAAATGCAATGCACGTACATATATATGTGTGTGTGAAATTATATATATATTACATATGAATATATATGTGAGATGTTAATTTAGATGAAACAAAAAGAACAGACATTTTTATAGCTCGATGTCAGAGGCTAGGAACAGAAAAAATGCAATATATATATATGAAAAAAATGTATATTACATATAAATATATATGTGAGATGTTAATTTAGATAAAACAAAAATAACAGACATTTTTTATAGCTTGATTTCACAGGCTAAGGATAGAGAAAATAAAATACATATAAAAATATATATAAAATATTAATTTAAATAAAACAAAAATAACAGACATTTTTTATAGCTCGATGTCAGAGGCTAGGAACAGAAAAAATGCAATATATATATGAAAAAATGTATATATTATATATAAATATATATGTAAAATATTAATTTAGATAAAACAAAAATAACAGACTTTTCTTATATAGCTCAATTTCAGAGGCTAAGAACAGAAAAAATAAAATATATATATAAAAATATATGTAATAGATATAGATATATATTTAAATATATATAGCATTAATTTAGATAAAACAAAAACAACAGACGTTTCTTATAGCTCGATTTCAGAGGCTAAGAACAGAAAAAATAAAATGTATATATATGAAAAAATATATATTATATATGTAAAATATTAATTTAAATAAAACAAAAATAACAGACGTTTTTTATAGCTCAATTTCAGAGGCTAAGAATAGAAAAAATAAAATATATATAAAATATTAATTTAAATAAAACAAAAATAACACATTTTTTACAGCTCAATTTCAGGGGCTAAGAATAGAAAAAAATAAAAAAAATATATAGAATATATACAAATATATACTTAAATATATATATAAAATATTAATTTAAATAAAAACAAAATAACAGACGTTTTTAAAAGTTTGTTTTCCTTTTTTTTTTTAACCACTGCTTTAAATCTTTGTGGGGTGCTATAGATGAATAAAGTATTACACTGAAAGTTAAAACATTAGAGGATCATTTTAACAGAATGTATGACAAAAGTTAATATTTTATTGAGCCACACTTTATTACTTATTATCGAGGCTCAAGGTAGAAAGAACATAAATGAAAATTATCTTTAATTTCACACCGAAATAAGCACTGGGTATACTACACATTTTCAAGTTATACACATGTACTATAAATACAACTCTTTTAATTTATAAAAATTCAATGTTTTGTTTTGTACTCACTGTTTAGACTTACCACGTATTTTTCACAGCTTTCCATGTAAATTAACGTATGTCCATGACATTATTTTGACAACTGCACGCCAAACTTTCATTGTTTGACATCTTACTTATTTAGCTAACAGCAATTTTTTCCTATTATGCATAATACCATGCATTTGAATATATGCTTAATTATAACATGTGTTTAATTATTTTCCTAGGTAATTCTTGAAAATGAAATCTCAGAGTTGAAAGAACACCCACATTTTATTTTTTTAAGGCTTCTGCCAAGTTTCTGTCTTGAAAGATCACACCAATAAACTATTTTGAAGCCATCCATAAATCTTTCGACATACTAAAAATGCTACCAGGATTACGGACTGAGGGCAAAACAAAAAAAAGGAAAAATACTGACACACAATCCTTGCCTTCAGCGGGTTTTGTAATATGTTGAGATACATAATGCATACACGTCACTTCATTCATTCAGCAATACTGTCTTAGAACGGTGTCATGGGACAAAAATCATTGCCCTCATGCGGGCCCGGGGGAGACAAAAAAGAAGAAACAAATAAATTAAGCAATATCATATGGTGCTGAGTTTGAATAAGAAAAGAGCAAAAAGCAGAGATGGAAAATGCTGGCAGAAGAAGAAGTTATAATTTAAAATACCATAATTAGGGAAGACGATTTAAGACAAGGCCATTAATGTCACTTAAGGCGGCCAATGTCAATCTTTATTAAAAAATATTATCCAATACACAATACCTGAGAATCTATACACATATATAATCAGCATGTGCATATAGAAATAGCAAGAATATATACATGCAAATGGCAAAAGGAGGAATGATTATTCTGGACAGGAGGAGTAAGAGAAGGTTTTAGAAATAAGGTAGAATTTGAGCTATGTTAGATATATAGACATGCAGGGCTAGAGCAAACAAAAGGCATTCTAGGCTGAAAGTGAACAAAAGCTCTCGAGTGGAAACTGCAGCCCACATATGGGGAACTTTGAGGGGTTCATTTGGTTCTAACATTAATGTCACTGATGGAAAGTATGGGAAAAAGGAAAGAGTGGAGTCAGGACGAAAGAGCCTTTAATGTGAGCCTAAGGAGTGACGCCGGTCCACGCGCTGGGTTTACATGGGCCAGTTACGACGCGGGGACTCATTCCATTCATCGTGATCAAAGGCGCACTAGATAAGGGAACTCAGGAACCCCAAACTCAGGTTTGAAACTGCTCTTCTAGATTTAAGGGTTAGGGTTAGGGTTAGGGTTAGATTTAAGGGCAAAAGGAAATTAACTGACATTTATAACGACCTTGGTCAACTCTCCATGTGGTTGTCAGTTACTCCCAAGTGTATACCAATATCCTCAAATCCACGACTCAATGCATTGTTCCCACTCCCCATCAGGACATGCCCTCCTTTCTAATGCCACCAGGAAAAATGAGACCACTGAACTTAGTTTCTCTCTCTGTCTACCTTTTATCTACAAACTTAACCATACTCATGTCCAGATCCCTTCCTATTTCTTTCATTTAATACATATTCATTGGACACACACTATGTTCCAAGCACAGTGTTGCTGAGTAAAACTAACAATTAAAATTTGGTGGAAGCGATGTATGAAAAGGATGAAGGGGTTATGGGACTGTATCCTTGGATAACTTCTTGCCCCTCATTAAGACACTAACACGGTATGGCATATTGTTGATGGGAGTTCCAATTTGTAGCACTTCCATAGTTTGCAAATCCGTATATTATGAAAGCTGACAGTCTACACATTTTTAAATTGGCACTACTTAAATTTTTAGATTAAATATAAAATAACTCACTTTATATCAACCTGTGGAGACAGCACCTGGAGCCTCGTGTACGCGAACATCCAAGCGTAGCTCACGGCTGCAGAGCAGTGTTTTGGAAGGTTTTCTTGCTTTAAAAAACTGGAGAGACTTATAATCCATGGATCTTGGCCCTGGGTCACGTGTGCAAATATCCATATGTGGGATGGACTGATCACATCAAACTGGTGGCTGATAGGGGAAGAGTTCCATTCTGCTAATGTTTGCAAATCTATTGAGCTAGGGCAATAGAGCAAAGTGGTCTGTGTGCAGAAAAGAAAAAATTGGTTATTGCCCATTTCAATAACTTTCAACATTTTGCCACATAAATTGCTGTAAGCTGAAAGTGGTCTAATTGGTAGTTTCTAGAACAGGAGAATATGAGGTTCAAGGTAGGTTTGAGGGAGTGGTGAATTCCTGACATCACATGAAATTGCTGTGTATGTGTATACATGTATTTTGCTGCAGAAGGATTCCATAACTTTCATTATTCTCAAAAGGATCTATAAATCAAAATAGTGAAAATAGTAAAAACAAAATAATTATAAGTGATTCTTATATGACTATGCAACTTTCATGGTACATGGAAGCTGCTAGAAAACTAAAAGTGAACCATTCACTTCCATGCTGATCTGCCCCATCTGTGCACGGATGGAACAGACTGGAAAGGGGAATCCTCTCTAGGATATTCTTAAATATTTGTTCGATGGTAATCGAGCTCTTACACTGAAGCGAGAAAGATTTACCTATAGAGCAAATTATATTCATTAAGCACTGATTTCTGCACTAGAAGTTAGTCATCCATTACTCTCTTGGCATAACTCATGGTTAATAATCTAAAACAAAATTCTTTAAAACTGTACAGATTTCTTAAATAAAATAGCTGGAAGAGAGGCTTCAAAAGGTTCTTACGACAAAGAAATCATAAATGCATGAGGTGACAGATATACTAACTAGCCTGACGGAATCATTACACAACATGGATATGTACGGAAACATCGAATTATACCCCATGAATAGGTACAATTAAAATATGTTGATTAAAACATCAGTAAAAGTTAAATTTAAAAAGTTTGGGAACACAAGGGGGAGAATTGTACAGATTTTTAATAATCTTTTAGGCCTATAAAATTTTATTATTCGCCCTTGGTTGTATACAACTTGTGAGTTATGAGTCAGGTGTTTTGCAGAAAGCACATAAACCTCTGATGCATGTATTCCCAAATAGGAGGAAAAAAATTTCCAGTAGTAATGTTTGCCACGTAGTCTTACATCAACACTGGAATCTTGATAAGTGACCTTTCTCTAATCCCAACCCAAATAAGAAAATTTGCATAAGCTTTCTTAGTGATGTGTTTGTTGACAAAGTGTTTCTCTCCATATTAATGACTCAATTACATATAACATGGGCATAGAATACTATACATCCTTAATCCACTGCACTTAAATTCATGTGATTCCTGATTCAAACAAAAAACATTCACTGGTCCAGGCGCGGTGGCTCACGTCTGTAATCCTAGCACTCTGGGAGGCCCAGGCGGGAGGATCGCTTGAGGTCAGGAGTTCGAGACCAGCCTGAGCAAGAGCAAGACCCCCGTCTCTACTAAAAATAGAAAGAAATTAATTGGCTAACTAAAAATATATAGAAAAAATTAGCCACGCATGGTGGCAAATGCCTGTAGTCCCAGCTACTTGGGAGGCTGAGGCAGGAGGATCGCTTGAGCCCAGGAGTTGGAGGTTGCTGTGAGCGAGGCTGGCGCCATGGCAATCACTCTAGCCTGGGCAACACAGTGAGACTCTGTGTCAAAAAACAACAACAACAAAAAAACCATTCACTGAAGAAGCAGAATATAAGATTTGCTTTGAATTTCAACATTTTAACCAGTATCTCCATAACAAGAATACTATAGGCCATAATAAATAGCAAAATAGTGGTCCAAATTAGCATTAAAAGAAAACTTCTTAAATTGGAAAGATTAGAATTCTACAAAGATAAAATTATTTTTATTTCTATGGGGAAGAGTGCTAAAAACAGCATAAACAAGTGCCACTTTATAAATATGTTTAACTTTGAAAGCACTTTATAGTTTTAAAAAATATTTCCTAACAGATTACATTTGTTAAGGAAGTTCATTCATGCACATGTGTGAATATGCATGTATGTGTCTGTCTTAACTCTCAACACAAGACCGAGCGGCATGAAACCATCACTGTTACCTGATCAGCCCCAGTAAGATGTATGAAGCTCTCGAGAATGGACGGGCTCAGTCTGTCCATCACATCAATGGCTAATTCATCGTCACCCTATAAAAAAGATACCATATGTCTAAAAACATTAGCAATGTTTAAGAAAAGCAGCCAAACCCAGGAAAACACTGACAATGCACTTTGGCATTATTTGTTACAAATGGAATCGAGGATGGGTGGGTACCGTGTTTCCCTGAAAATAAGCCCTACCCATAAAAGGAACCCTAGCAGGATTTCTAAGCATGTGTGCAATAGAAGCCCTACCCCGAAAATCAGCCCTGGTGGTGGGCGTGGCTATGAAAATCAGCCCTAGTGATGGGCGTGGCCATGAAAATCAGCCCTAGTGGTGGGCGTGGCTATGAAAAATCAGTCCTGGTGGTGGGCGTGGCTATGAAAATCAGCCCTAGTGATGGGCGTGGCTATGAAAATAAGCGCTAGTGGTGGGTGTGGCTATGAAAATCAGCCCTAGTGATGGGTGTGGCTATGAAAATCAGCCCCAGTGATGGGCATGGCTATGAAAATCAGCCCCAGTGATGGGCGTGGCTATAAAAATAAGCCCTAGTGACGGGCGTGGCTGCGCAGCGCACCTGCACAACCCATGCGTGTCGTCGCGGAGCGGGAAAGGACACGAGCAGCCCTTCTCATCCACCCCGTGAGAGCTCTAGTGCTCCACAGGAGAGATCCGGGCCGGTGGTTCTAAAGGAAATAGAGTCGCAAGACATTCAGGATGGGATTCGGGGTTTGGAGAGTGAGGATGATGTTCCAGAAGAAGACGACTTCACTCTATTTGAATCAATGGAGATGGTTGTACCGTACTTAAAAAAATAACACATCCCCAGAAAATAAGCCCTAGGGTGTGTCTTCTTGAGGAAAAATAAATATGAGACTCTGTCTTATTTTTGGGAAAACACGGTAGTTTAGGCCTGGTGGAAGACACTTTGTTATAAAATAACTTACACCTCCATGGCAGGCACAGAAGTAGCATAAAAATGGACAAGGGGATAGCTCGTAAGCACTCTCATTAGATAACTTAAAGAAACAGCGAATCTTACCTTAGGTATTTCCAAAAGTGCAAATAAAGCCCGTACTTCTCTAAGGACGCTGACGGCTAGCCTGCGAGTGGCGGGTCGACTGCTACACAGAATGACAAGAGCAAAGCCTTCGACGACATGGAACACGCTGGAATACAGGCTCCTTTCCAGAGGAGGGGGGTGAGAAGCTCCATCAGCTACGCCGTGCTTGAAAAATAAATCAAAGTTAAAAATAAAATAGAAAATACATATGCACAGATAATTCCAGAAAAACAACTGCTAGAGAGTAAAGCAAATCACAGAAATCATGGCTACAGGCCTGCCTCAGCCCAGGCAGTTTAAATACTGGTTTTAAAAATATAATATGGGCAAAGTGAAGAAAGCATTTCGTTGGCAGTCTAACAATGAATCCTGTCCCTAACTTATGTCATCTTCTGACTACTTTACATGTCCTTGGAGCTGACACTCACTATGAGGCTTAATATTCCTTTGCAGGAAAGGAGGGGATAGGATTGTATCTTTCATACTCAGAGTGTGGACCAGCAGCCTGTGGCCACTGCCTGGGAGCTTGTTAGAAACTCTTTCACTGGGTCCGGTTGATTTCCACGCTCACTAAAAGTTGAGAAGCTAGGTACGGCTGAGATGGTCCAGCTCTAAAATTCCAGGGTTCTGTGACTTTATACATTATGATCAATCAATAGTTTGAACACCTTTTATGGTTAAGGAGCACAAATACTATCTTTGTGAAACAGAGACTTAGTGCCATGGTGAAATAACGAAGTAACCGAAATGGAAGACTACCAACATTTTTTATTATTGTATCAGTTTTATTTTATTTAAAAAAAAATTCTTTTTTGTAGCCAGTAGAATTTAGCAGTAGGGGGTTGAATACCAACTTCAGTGACACTAATGTTAATATGTTCTGATAACCCACTACCATCAGACCAGCCAGGATCAGTTTTAAATATATTGGAAACAACCTAAATCTGAGCCAGACTGATCTCTACTTTCTATGTTTATTAAAAAACTAATTGTAACCAAGGGAAGAAGGTTAGAAAGGTTAGGTACACAAACACTATAAATTTAACATATGAACTATAGAAAAGTTCAGTTTAAGGGATTAAGAACCTACTGAAAGTGAATAGAAGAAAACTTTTAGTGTTTGAGAAAACATCGATATTAACATTATTATTGTTCATTTACTGCTGACTACAGAGACAGGAACAAAAGAATTTGGTACCTGTGAGTCCTGGTTTTTGTTATGCATTTGGGCTGCTTGTTTCCACTGATTTATTAATTGTACCAACATCTTCACGGCGTTATCAAGAAGTGTGGGATGGACGTCGGTCACTTCGCGAACAATAAAATAAACAAACCCTGAAAGAACATCCTCCCGCCAATCTGGAAAATCAAGCATTAATGCCAGCAGAGTATTGAAAGCCAGACCACGCAGTTCTTCATCCATATGAATTGTGAGCCTACCAAGAACAAAACGCCATTAGCAAACCTCAAAACCTGTCAAAGAGTTTTTAATCATTTGAACCTTAAAACGAGGAAATTTAAAAATATATATATATCTCTTCTTGTTTTATAAGAAGCATAAAGATAGGAACCAATGTTCACTTTTCTGTGCTATATTCAACCTTATGCTTGTCTATATTTATTTGTTTAAATTCACACATAAATCTATTAATATTAGTTGATTAATCTATTACTATCACTTAATCTATTAATATTAATCTATTAATATTAGTTGATGTTTTTACTACAATTTAGAATAAGTTTGATCTTAATTCAAATGAAGAACTTTAGAAAAGAATACAGATGCCATAAACAGAATTCAATTTAAAAGTTCTTTAATCCTTGAAATACGTTATCCTATAATCAATCCACAATTATGTCTAATCATATAATATCTTAGCACTATCTCACGTTTATTTAGTCCTTTCCTATAGCTCAAAGGACGTGACTTAGCCATTCCTTACTCACTGCTGAGATTACAGTTAAATATGAGCAGGCTGATTGTGAAGAAGGAAATACAATAGATTAAGGTGGGATCAAGTTAACAGAAATAATTCTTGAAGGTGAGAATGAGAGTAAATTTAAGAGATACATCATAAATAGTGTATGCCTACCAAAAAAAATGAAAAGACGATGTGTTAACTCAACACATAAGGCCATAAAGAGAGTTTAAGTCTAAATAAATTAGGAAAGAGGCTATATAAAGTTACTTTTCAAAGACATCAAACCAATATGGGGCTCTCACCATAATTATAGAATTTTACCAAAACACAAAAAAGAGAATGATAAGCAAGAAAAACAATGATGAACACGACACAAAATGGCTGTAGCAGTAAAGCCACCAATACATATATAATAATGCTATAGGGGTATGAGTTTATGATTTGGGGCTGAATAGGATTACTTTAATAACTGCCTCTAAAGACAAATACATCAGAGTTAGAAATAGTCTGAATGCATAAAATAAGTAGGTAATGTTTGAAATACACCACAATGGCATGCTTGGGAAGCAAGCAAGATGGAGTTTTATCCACAATGACAAGAGGAGGGAAGTTATATGGTTAGGAGGAAGAAGGTATCAGTCTTCCTCCTGCTGAATTCAGTCTTCATGAAGGCAGCTTTCAACTGACAGTGAGACTAAAGAGAAGATTTACTACAGCTAGGGAGATTCAGGCGTAAGGAATGAAGCTGCAGTAGTTATTTCTGCACATTAGAACTAAACAGGGCCAGATTAAACAACTCTAGCCCAGCATCCTGTCCCTGACAGCAGCCCCAGGGAAGGTATCGTGGAAGGGGAGAGTGACCATCCATCCTCCATAATGCTGACTTAAAGGTTATTCCAACATCCCGTAAATCTACAAATATGTAAATATCTATCTTATACCCATCTGTGCGATTTGGGGAATATATATATATGTGTATATATATATATGTATATTAATATACAAGCTAACTGCTCAATGTGCAGAGAACAACAATGCAGTCTGGCTAATTAAAGGCAGCGGAATTAATTAACTTTCCTTACGGACAGCAGATGGGTCTACACATTTACAATGCATCTTTGTTTTATTTGCTGCTTGATTTTAAAGTAAATAAGAATTAGACAGCACAACTCCAGATGATAGGGGTGGAGGACCAAACACAACAGACCCTGGGATCTTTGTGTCCACTGAAGTCAATGAATTAGTCAATGAGTGTCACAGGGGGGAGCAGCAAAGTGAACAGCGAGCAAACTGGCACCCACTATCCAGTTGTTTCCCGGAAAATAAGCCCTACCCACAAAATGAGCCCCAGCAGGATGTCTAAGCTTGTGCGCAATAGAAGCCCCACCCCGAAAATCAGCCCTAGTGATGGGCGTGGCTAAGAAAATCAGCCCTAGTGATGGGCGTGGCTATGAAAATCAGCCCTAGTGATGGGCGTGGCTATGAAAATCAGCCCCAGTGATGGGCGTGGCTATGAAAATCAGCCCTAGTGATGGGCGTGGCTATGAAAATCAGCCCTAGTGATGGGCGTGGCTATGAAAATCAGCCCTAGTGGTGGGCGTGGCTATGAAAATCAGCCCTAGTGGTGGGCGTGGCTATGAAAATCAGCCCTAGTGACGGGCGTGGCTGCGCAGCGGCATCTGCACAACCCATGCGTGTCGTCCCGGAGCGGGAAAGAACACGAGCAGCCCTTCTCATCCGCCCCGTGAGAGCTCTAGTGCTCCACAGGAGAGATCGGGGCCAGTGGTTCTAAAGGAAACAGAGTCGCAAGACATTCAGGATGGGATTCGGGGTTTGGAGAGTGAGGATGATGTTCCAGAAGAAGACGACTTCACTCTATTTAAATCGATGTAGATGGTTGTACCATCCTTAAAAAAAAACAACACATCCCCTGAAAATAATCCCCAGGGTGTCTTCTTGAGGAAAAATAAATATAAGACCCTGTCTCATTTTTGGGGAAACACGGTAGGCTCCCTTACACCTGCCCCTCAAAGGTGCAGTTTCATTTCGGAGGGGAATGCGGGTGACCTCTCTGTGACCACTGTCCACAAAGATGAACATCTGTGAGTCAGGCTCAAGTCAGAGGTGTAAGAATTGAATAGCAACTGTTTACTGCTCTCCAAATCGTGCGATAAATAAATCCTTACTGTTTCTACTTTCTCACGCTCACCTTTGTGCCCTAACCCACAGCAGAAACGAAGAGGCAGTGTGGGAAGGGAATGCATTTATCTTAAGGAGCAAAGTAACCCCTTTTCCTCATTTATTTATTTATTTATTTGAGAAAGAGACTCACTCTGTTGCCCAGGCTAGAGTAAGTGCCGTGGCGTCAGCCTAGTTTACAGCAACCTCAAACTCCTGGGCTCAAGTGATCCTCCTGCCTCAGCCTCCCGAGTAGCTGGGAACACAGGCATGCGCCACCATGCCCGGCTAATTTATTCTATATATATATTAGTTAGCCAATTAATTTCTTTCTATTTATAGTAGAGACGGGGTCTCATTCAGGCTGGTTTCGAACTCCTGACCTCGAGAAATCCTCGAGCCTCGGCCTCCCAGAGTGCTGGGATGACAGGCGTGAGCCACTGTGCCTGGCCTCCCTTTTTCTCATAATCCTGGCGGAAGAGGAATACCATTCCATCTCTGATGGCAGCCGCAGCAGGTGCGGAAAAGGCAGTGCCTGGGTGCGGGAAAGGCGAGGCGTTTTCAATAAGGGGGCAGAAAGGGCTGCTGGGGCAGTCTACTGATTGCTTATTCATTGTAGATTTAACTTACACCTTAGTGATAAATACTCAGCGGCGTATCTTTCAACGTAGCCAAGCATGGCTGGGTCTGCTACAGATGTTGGTGCTTGTTTTCCATCCGGGACCAAGGCCAGCCAGCTGTGCTCCCCTGGCCAGATCCTACCAGAGTGCAGTCATGCGACACTCGTCACCGTACCGTCTCTGGCTGCTTTTGTACACAAGGTTCGAGACCAGTATCTGTCTGAATTTATCTTTTTATTTTTTTTTTTTTCATTAAAATTTTTTTTATTAGTTATATTTTATCTTTATTTTCTTTTTTTTCCTCTGGCAAAGGATAAATACTCATCTCAAATGATTTTTTTATGTATTATTTTTATTTATTTTCTTTGAGACAGAGTCTCACTCTGGCTGCCCAGGCTAGAGTGAGGTGCGTGGCGTCAGCCTCGCTCACAGCAACCTCAGCTCCTGGGCTCAAGCAATCCTCCTGCCTCAGCCTCCCAAGGTAGCTGGGACTTACAGGCATGCACCACCATGCCCAGCTAATTTTTTCGTTATATATTAGTTGGCCAATTAATTTCTTCTATTTATTAGTGTCTCGCCTTGCTTCAGGCTGTTTTGAACTCTTGACCTTGAGAAATCCACCCGCCGCCTTGACCTCCCAGAGTGCTAGGATTACAGGTGTGAGCCACCGCACCCGGCCTCTGTCTGTTTTACTGATACATATGGATATTCATATTTTCAGGGCACATATGATAATTTAATACATTCATATAATTGGTAAAGATCAAATCAGGGTAACTGGGATATCCATCACCTTAAATAGCTGTCTTTTCTTTATGCTAGAAACATATGAAATTATTCTCTTCTAGCTATTTTCAAATGTGCAATAGATTATTGTTAAACTATACTCACCCTACTGATCTATCGAACGCTAGGCCTTCTTTCTTCTATCAAACTGTGTAGCTGCACTAATTTAATAAACCTCAGAGATGAGTATTTCTGATGAAGACTTAAGCCCTGCAAACCCTAAAAAAATTTAATATCTGATCCTTCACAAAAAGAAAATTGCTGACCTCTTGTTGAGGCAATCTCTAACTGCATTAACAAAACAATTCAACAGGCCATCACCGCAGCTTAACACTAGGAGCGATTACATAAATTTGGTTGTCATGTTATTTACTCCTTTTATAGAGCTATGGCATGCTTAATAGAAGAGGGAAAGAGAAAAACGTGCATGCTATAGCTCTGCCATGGGGGGGGAGTGCAGATGAGACCTAGTTACAATCTAGATATAAAGAAATGATTGTAGGAATAAGCACAATTATTGATGGCCTAACTGGGTTTTTGGTTTTTTTTTGAGACAGAGTCTCGCTTTGTTGCCCAGGCTAGAGTGAGTGCCGTGGCGTCAGCCTAGCTCACAGCAACCTCCAACTCCTGGGCTCAAGCGATCCTCCTGCCTCAGCCTCCCGAGTAGCTGGGACTACAGGCATGCACCACCATGCCCGGCTCATTTTTCTATTTTTAGTAGAGACAGGGTCTCGCTCTTGCTCAGGCTGGTTTTGAAATCCTGAACTCAAGCGATCCTCCCGCCTCAGCCTCCCAGAGTGCAAGGATTACAGGCGTGAGCCACCGCGCCTGGCCTTGTTATACAATTTAACTACATTTTTTTCTAGTCATTCAATGATTTTATTTCTTTATTTTAAATGTCTAATCTCTTATGCTGGTTTTTATTTTGGTCTATATTCCAAGGTGAGACCTTTTAAACTTATTTGTTTCCAAACCGTTGCCCAGCTGGCCTAATAAAACAATCCTTGTGTAGAAAAGAATCTGGTTGTTCTAAGTGTTTGGGGCCAGCTTTCATTATAGAGGCAATGGCCTTGCTACCTCCTTTTAGAGATTTCATATCGTCAGCCCTCCCTTTGGATGGTTCTGAAATGCATGAATGTCAGTTACCACAATTTAGCTAAACAAACACCAGTCTCCAGTAACACAGTTCAAACTTAAGGTACCATATATTATAATAACTATAAATAAAGGCATCAACAAACTTTGCTGTTGGCTCTTTTTTTTTTTTTTGGAGACAGTCTCACTCTGTTGCCCGGGCTAGAGTGAGTGCCGTGGCGTCAGCCTAGCTCACAGCAACCTCAGACTCCTGGGCTCAAGCGATCCTCCTGCCTCAGCCTCCCGAGTAGCTGGGACTACAGGCATGCACCACCATGCCCGGCTCATTTTTCTATTTTTAGTAGAGACGGCGTCTCTTTCTTGCTCAGGCTGGTCTCGAACTCCTGACCTTGAGCGATCCTCCCGCCTCAGCCTCCCAGAGTGCTACGATTACAAGCGTGAGCCACCGCGCCCGGCTGAGAACATACAGACGCTTTCTAGCAAACAAAAGAAGCTACTGCCATAAAATACATCTCCCTGAGGAGGAAGTCGTCCCTAACGATAAGGGAGGAAGGTGCTGGGATGACAAATGATGACAAGGCTGGGCTGGGACGGTGGGGTGGGATGCTGTCTCCCAAGAAACTCAGACACTGTTCTCCTCTGTGGCCTGGTTCCCAGGAGACAAAAATATCAGAGGTCAGATTTTCAGGATTTTGTTGTTGTTGTTGTTGTTGTTTGTTTATTGTAAATCAGGCCTCTGGAAATAAGAGCATCCGTTTGACTGAATGAACCAAGCATGCCCGCACACATCTGCGGGTCCTAGGACTCATGTACCACGCGAGGGGCAGGTGTGGGGGTCAGGCCTCGTCACGGACAGCAAAGTAGACTGGGACCCGGAGTGGCTTTTGCCACCTAGGCCAGCTTGACAGCACTTTAAACGAAGAAAGCTGAGCCCCTGCAAGGAACCCCTGCATTGCAAACCGCAGCAGGTGGCAATACGGGGAAAGCTCTAGAAAGAGAAGGCAAGGCAACAACAGGTAAACAGGAAGGAACCACCTGCGCTCTCTTATGAAAAGCGAGACAAGCAATGACGAGGGCAGTTGGCTACGCACGTGATCATGTCTTCGGGCTCCTTATTAGACATCTGCACACTCGTCATGCACATTGGCCTCCCAACCTCTTTGTCCAGATGTCTGAGAATGCTATCCAACGCTTTCCTGACTTGAGGATAGTAAACTGACATTCCTAGGAGGGGGGGGAAAAAAAACAACCTCCTGATTATAAAATATCAGAGATTATTAGATAAAGAATGCTGACAGTTGCTGTCCGGAATAAAAGCCCATCCATCTGGAAATAATATTAGCTCATCGTTGTCACAAAACAGGGAATTTCGACTGTGACACATTCTTCCTGATCATGAGCTATAGCACATCGCAGGGACTGGAGAAACCGTGTGAAAATGACGCAGAAAACTCAAACTGATTGGAAGAAAGGATAAAATGCAGTGAACGGTATCCTTTAACCGGAAGACCCTTACCATCAAGATTTATAACTATTATCGAAACTGTATTTTTATTTATTTATTTATTTTTTGTGAGACAGAGTCTCACTCTGTTGCCCGGGCTAGAGTGTCACGGCGTCAGCCTCGCTCACAGCAACCTCAACCTCCTGGGCTCAAGCGATCCTCCTGCCTCAGCCTCCCCAAGTAGCTGGGCCTACAGGCATGCGCCACCAAATTTTCTATAACAATATAGAAATTTTTCTATATATTTTAGTTGTCCGGCTAATTCCTTTCTACTTTTAGTAGAGACAGGATCGGGCTGGTCTCAAACTCCTGACCTCGAGCGATCCTCCTGCCTCGGCCTCCCAGAGTGCTAGGGTTACATCCAAAATGTATGATCGCAGTGGCACATACGTGGAATAACCACATGAGAGACCATTCTGCTTATTCAGAAAATTTGATCCGATAATCAAATATACAACGGTATTATCAGCATTAAATAGTCAAAGACGAATCAACCATCATAGACTTTGCTTCTTCATAACTAGTCAAAAGGTTATAATAAAGGATATACATCTTCAAAGACACAAAGAAATATAAATACAAAAGAAGAGAGGAGGGATGACAACACCAGATAGAGTAACGCGAATGAGGAGAGCATCCACCGTCTTATCTGCTGCAACGGCTGAAAATACATCGATACAACAGAGAAAAACATCCTGAGCAAAAGATGTAATCATAAAAAAAAATCAAATATACAGAGAAAAAAAAAAAGAGTTTCCAGGAAGAAACCAGAGCGTCACAAATTATCTTTTGTTCGTGTTAGAAACAGCTCATCAAATAACACTGGGGGGGATGGGAGGAAGGGGACAGAAGGAAAACTAACCTTTCTGTCCAGCATATTTTTATTTTATTTTAATTTATTTTAGTAGAGACGGGGTCCTACATCATCTGCTCAGGCTGGTTCCTCGACTCCGACCTGGCGAGTCTCCGCCAGCCTCAGAGTGCTGGAGACACGAGTGCTCGGCCACCGCGCCCGGCCTGTCCAGCATTTTTAACCAGTCCATTAGAGTTTGTGTTAATACCAGATTCCCAAATGCCACCCTGTCACTTCTGAGGGTGGCTGGCTCTCTTAATTTCTCCAAGGCTTATTCACCCCTCCTTCCATCCTTCCTTCTTCAACGCTCTTATCCTCCTATGGTCCCCTCCTGTCCCTAACTCTCTAGGCAGATGCCTTGTCTCCTACTCCTCAGAGAGGAAAAAACCCATCTACTTTCCTCCTTCTCTCATTATAAATCACACTCACCTATTTCTACCTTTCTCTCTGCTCCCTCCCTTTGGCTCTTGTCACAGGGAGGGGCTGACGGTCAGAGAAAGAAAAGAATTATGAAGTAGTCATATATATATATATACTATCCTATACTATTTGTGTTATCTTACCTTTTTAGAGTGTGGTTTCTGGAATCGAAACTCTTAGGTTCAAATCCCAGCTCTGCTTCTTACTGCTAATGTGATCTTGGATAAATGACTTCATTTTTGTGATGGCTGGCTGCATAGTTTTTGTTTTTGTTTTTTAAATTAATTATAATTTTTCTTCTTGTTTTCTCAGCCCATGTACAAATGTTCATTTGAATGCATAGTTTAATTAGTAGTGTTTTCAGCGTGTTTAAGCATGCCGGTGAACTGTCTTGCTCACTCACTGGGATACATGTACCTTGCTTGAGAGGTCAGAGGTCAGAGATAAGGACAGCTGGGGCGGACATGGTGGTGGCACAGACAGAAGACCATTCACTGAGAAAAGGAACCTTGAGCAGGAATGGAGTTTGGGCCAAAGGTCACGCATGTGGGTTGATCATGTCTAACCCGAGGCATCTTCTAGAATTCTAAGGACTCGTATCAGACGTGTGGTGAGGGTCTGCGTTGAGAGGAGAGGCCAGGCTTGACGTTTGGGGGTGCGTTGGCATGAGTGCTTGAAGCCATGTCAACAGATGACATTGCTTTGAAAGTGAAGACGTGACAAAAGTAGACGGCAGCGTAGGAGACCTGGCTTTGAAGCAGGCTGACATTGGGAAGCCAGGTGGAAAGGAGGCTGAGCCTTGAAATGCAGGTAGAGATGACACACCCGGGTGGCACAGAGGTAGGTAGCAGTGGGAGGGAGCGTTTCAGGAGAGAAGGAACACTCGACAGCGTCCAGGCTGCTGCAAAACGCCCTCTACCGCAAGTGACATGGTCACAGATGAGTGAGAGTTGCTCCCGGTAAATGTTGTGGGCAAGGTTTGTTCCATTAAGATTCTGAGTATAGGGGGGGAAATGGGCATTTGTTGAAACCTTAAAATCTGTAACCCACAATATGGGCGAGTAAAAAATAGAAAAAAAAAAAAGATTTCTGAACCTATGGGCGGCCTCGGTGGTCACGCTTCATCCCAACGACTGCTGCGGAGGGCCGAGGCGGGAGGATCAACTCACCAATGCCAGGAGTCGAAACCAGCCTGAGCAAGAAGCCCCAAGACCCATCTCTACTTAAAAAATAGAAGAATTAATGTGCCAACTAAAAAAAGTGATAGAAAAATCAGCCGGGCCGTGTGGCGCGTGCCCTG